ACTTTCTTATGAAAGGATATTATGTGTCACATATTTGGCTAGCTTAACGTTTTACCCACAACACCTAGTGTAGTGTTTGGAACATAATAGGTGCTCATTAAATATTTACAGATGGAATGAACACATCATGGGCCTATTAATTATTAAGTACATTTTTGGTTTAAATGCAAAATGTTTTAAGTTAGGCAGATAGAAAGAACACAAAGTAAATTTTACCTTTCATTGATTTAGCAATACAGAAAATATTTATTGAATGCCTGTTATGTTCTAGGTTTGAGCCAGGTGCTGGGCTCACAAGGGTGAAGGAAACAGTGGTGCTCACCACGCCGTGGTGCCACCATATGGCTTCCAGAACTCTCTAACCTCTGAATTCATCCAATCAGATCAATTTAGCTGTTTTGAACAATTTACAGCAATCACCATGTCTGGCTCAATCGCTTGGTCACCTGAGGAAACCAGCGAAAAATAAAGAAAATTATAACTATGATAGCAGCTGCAATTTTAACCTGGCACACTAATGTTTTGCATTGATTTCGATTTCTATTTCTAATATATAATCTCTCTTCTGGCAGTCACTGCATGGGAATAGTATTTAAGGTTTCTTAAAGTTTTTCATTTTATTTCATCTTAAATAAATCCAGAAACGAGTAACCTCAAAGAAAAAGAGAGAGAGAGAGAATACTAGTGGTTTTATCCAAGGTCAGGCCACTCATCAGTGAGAGAACTAGGACCAAAATCCCTGTGTGTGTGTGTGTGTGTTTTAATGTTTTATTTATTTCTAGGAGAGAGAGAGAGAGAGACCGCGTGAGCAGGGGAGGGTCAGAGAGAGAGGGAGTCACAGACTCTGAAACAGGCTCCAGGCTCCGAGCTGGCAGTCAGCACAGAGCCCGACGCGGGGCTGGAACCCACGAACCGCGAGATCATGACCTAAGCGAAAGTCGGACGCTTATCCGACTAAGCCACCCAGGTGCCCCATAAAATCCCTGTTTTCTAATTCCCAATGCAGAGTTCTTTGCAACACACCCCTGTTTTCCCCACAAGAACATACTCTGCTTCTCTTCAGTTCAGGTGTTATTGCTAGATGACTTGTAGCTCCAAAAAGAATGAGGTACATGTCATAAGAGCAAACATTCCCAGCAGGAGGCCAGGCAGCCTTTGGACTCTAATGCTACCTACCTATTTTCAGTCGTAGGAAAACTTTTCTACTCAGACAGTCTGCCATGAATACAGGTACTTATAAAGGCAGAAAGTATGAAATAGTCAAGAATTCAATTGAGGCACACAGGCCAGGAAGAAACATGTCAATTTCATTTAGAATTCTTGCTTGATCTGAATTACCAACACGTGAAATTAGATTAAATCATGTAACAACAGCACTTCAAAAAATGAAGAATCAAGTATGTTCTGTTACCTGTGGAGTGGAAAATCTGACAACAGAGATGGGCAACTTGGCATAGAGTCCAAGCTTTATCATTTACTACCTAGGTGATGTATGCTGTCTCATTTCATGTAGAGTGGAGGAAATTGTCAAAACATATATATTGCCACCATTTTTCTTATAAGTAGGCAATACAGTAAGATTACTTTGAATAGGCTTCTTTAGAGTCCTTTCAACCATCTTTAGGTAGTTACACTTTATTGGAAGCAAGAGTTAGTGACAATGAAATTTCAAAGTAGACACGACCATATAGAAGTTTTATAACAGAAAGTAAAAATGTGCATTTTCCCTCATAGGTATTTCCAAGTTCAAGAACTAAAAACTATTCCTACTTGGAATCATTGTAAACATTTAAGTTGTTTTCCATATGTGACTTTTAAAACCTTTTTTAGGTTTTAAAGAGGGTAGAAATTATATTTATTTATGTTTCTATTGAAGTAAAATAAGCAGTCAGGTGTGGCATTTAAAAATGTATACTGGGATTCAGTGTTCTGTCTTTGTGTTTAGGATCTGGCTCTGTAAAATTCCTTCCTTCTTTCCTTCTTTCCTTTGTTTGTTCCTTCCTTCTTTCTTTTCTTTTTATCACTACCCTAATTTTTGTCTTCAACCCCTTTCATAATCCCCATGATGAGAGTACAAAAAAGCCACTAAGTCAACACCAATGGAAGCATAGATGTTGTATTTCCCAAAAAGCAGGATGATGGCATGCAGTTAATGAAACCAGTGAGGTCAGAAGGCAATAGAAGAGGGGACAGGACAGGGATCATGCAGAGACACAAAGTCTCATGGATGGCTCTATGACCTTTGCAAATTACTGCTTAAGGTGATCTAGAACTGGCAGATACACCTCTGTAATTACTATCTACTTCTGGGGCTCAATTTTTTTTTTTTAATTTTTTTTTTTAAATTTTTTTTTTTTAATGTTTTTATTTATTTCTAGGAGAGAGAGAGAGAGAGACAGCATGAGCAGGGGAGGGTCAGAGAGAGAGGGAGTCACAGACTGAAACAGGCTCCAGGCTCTGAGCTGGCAGTCAGCATAGAGCCCGACGCGGGGCTCGAACCCACGAACCGCGAGATCATGACCTAAGCGAAAGTCGGACGCTTAACCGACTAAGCCACCCAGGCGCCCCATTTTTTTTTTTTTAATTTTTAAGACTCCTGCTCAGGAGATAATTTGTTTATCTTCTTTTATTGAAACCTGTAATGAGGTCCTATAGCAATGAGAGAATAGAATTAGAGAAGCAGCATCTGTGAATAGAAATCACACAGATCACTCCTTTAATTACAATGAGACAATGCTTAATCTGATACTCTATTAGTGATTATTCAAAAGATGAAAAGATCCCAAATTCATTAGATATAGGACAAAGCAAAATATAAACCTTAAAAGTTGTTGCAAAAGCAGTTTCCCTCAAAAAATTTTTTCCCTCTTGTTTTCTTACTTTATTTAAATTTTCTTCCTTCTCTTTCTTCTCCCCACATACATTGTATTTAAGTCTTTAAAGGTTATAGAAAGTAAACAGCCATCATTCCTGCTCGTTATGTGAAGACTTTGAGTCACTTTAGGAAGTGAACTAATCAATGTGTCCCAACTCTCAGTACAGAGTTCTGTGTTTGATACTTTGGGATCTCTTGAGTTTTCGAATTCTACAGTAGTGTCTTCAAACCTCAATTAGGTTTTAGGAATCAAAGAGGAAACATTTAAAAGGAATCCACATCCAAAGCTGTTGAGAATACTGGCAGTGATCTCCTAGGCAGTCTACACAGAGGAAGAAGCCCAGTCGGAGCCAGGGCAACAGATTTCCCTTCATCCGTCTTTTCCCCCTTTGCTTTGAAGCCTCTGTTCTTATGTCTCAAGGCGTGTCATCCAGAAGAGCTTCTCTCTAATGCTGGCCCAACCTTAGAGTCCTCTGTTTTGACACATTCATTCATCCCACAGATATTTATGGAGTTTAGGTTCTATTCCAGAGGCACATATCTATGCATAGATAGATCTGACAAAATCTCTGTCCGGGAAAAGCTTCAGTGTAGGGCTATAGAGACCACCGGGAATATGGGACAGTAAGGAAGGAGAGTGCCCTAGAAAAGTCTTTATCTTATATATCTTGTCATGTCAGGGGAGGGTCTTCAAGGCTCCAGACATAACCCTGATAGACTCTGTACAATTTGCACCTCTTATTTGTTTTAACCCCCTTTTTTCTTTCCCTTGACCACAACAGCAGTCCTAGATCAGAAATAACAAAATGTCATCCCTATATCCAGCCTGTGACATTTTTACTGGCGCAGAAGATTCCATTCCAAAACCCAGATTTCTAGTTTTTCTCCAAATATTTGAAAACCTACAACCATGTCTGAAGTTCTATGTTCCCACAAAACAATGTCTATCATAATTTGAAGTTACTATCTCGTTTTGGTGTATAATTCAGTCTCCAGACCATCACAGTCCTGTCTCATACCCTGACAGACCACCATTTCTCATCACACTTCAGCTGTTCTTTTTTTTTTTTAATATATAAACATGTTTTAATGTTTATTTATTTTTTGAGAGAGAGAGACAGAGTGCCAAAGGGGGAATAGTAGAGAGAAAGGGAGATACAGAATCTGAAGCAGGCTCCAGGCTCTGAATTGTCAGCACAGAGCCTGACACGGGGCTTGAACCCACAAACCTTGAGATCATGACCTGAGCCAAAGTCAGACACTTAACCAACTAAGCCATCTAGATGCCATCCAGATACCCCTGTCCTTTCTTTTACCTGGCCTGTCTTATTCATTTCTGTTACCAGACTGATAGGCTATATACAGGAGTTAATGACACATATGATGCTGACAAAGAGCTCACTGAAACATTTTCATATCTTCAGCACAGTGGCTCATTCACAGAAGTATTCCAGTGCACATCTGATCACATGCTAACATGCATGTGTCATTACAATAGAGCTGCAACTACTGCCTAGTTATCCCTAGGTATACAAGGTTTTATAGTATAATGCCATGCAATTTATTCCAAGTAGAGAAAAACACCTGTTTTGCTCTGTCTAAACTCTCATAGAAAACATGCCAGTGCTGATCCAGGATTTCTCAATCACATCCAGAACAGAAGGAAACCTCTCTTCTTTCTCTACAGGAACCTCTCTACATTTTTTTTTTTCATGTGGAGAATTCATTTTGTCATGGGGTGAACACCTGTGTGACTATTTAAAAACCACAACACCAGGTGTGTGAGTATAAGTGTCTCTCTCTTTTATGTAATGTTCTTCTCACTGATTTCTCAGCAGGCTGGGTCAGGAATAATCTTCAAGCTGAATATAGAAAAAAAGTCTTAAAAGATTTTTAAAAATATATCTATTACAAGTGCATGCACTAAATATGTTGCAGCAAAATTATACAAATAGGTCTTAAGTTTCTAAGATTCTTTCATTTTTGCTACCATGTAAAAATGTTTGGTATCTGTGGGTGCCCAGTTGTAAGCTTACCCTAAGGGAAAGGATTTTAGAAGACTTAAACTTAGAAGACATTGTATGACAAACTTTCAAAATATAAAACAAAATAGAGGTTTATTTACCTTTTGCTCTGTCTCAGGCTCTCCATGCCTCTTTTCCAGGAGATGGCTGCCCTAGGAAAAGCATTTGGTTTGCATTCGATAGTAATATCCCCACCAACTTGCACAACAGAATTTTTTTTAAGGGGATTTTTAGAGAAATCAGGAGCTGAGGCTAAAAAAAATTAAAAACAAAATTGTTAAGTTACTCTCTTAATGAACATGTGGCAGCATGATGATGTAGGGTATGAGACAGAATTCAGTGTTGGTCCCCAGAGTTTTTTTCAAGCTATTTTGCTCAGGTTGTTTTGGGGCCAGTTACCAGTTTGACATTTTGAAGTTCTACCTTCATTTGAAAAATGAAGATGACAATAGATATGACTTCAGAAATTTACTGAAGAGTTTAAATGAGATAATATCTGTAAAGAACTCTAGCATAGTGCCTGGCACAAAGTATGTATTCAATAAATGTAATTTATTTTTATTTTGGTGCTAGTCATTGCAATGACAGAAGCAAATTGTAGCAGGGGAAGAACCAAGTTACAAAGAGTCATATTCTTAATAGTGTTTACAATGAAGAGGGTGAAGATGGTCCCATAAGAGAGAGAAGAGATTTTTACCCTGATTAGGGAAAACATTAAATCTATTCCAGTCAAGGTAATGATCCTAAATGTGAAATATAAGATATCACTGAAATAAAGCAGAAATACTCTATCATTTTGTCAGATTTCTTCAGGCAAGCTTTAAACCAGCAAAATGGAAATATTCTGCCTTCTGTAGAAGCAGGTAAGCTGAGCAGATTTTTTAAAATGTCAGTTTCAGCTTTGTCCTCACTAAATAAATGTTGAACAAATACCAATTCATGAGAGTGAGAAATCATTAGACTGCCTGGATGCGTGTGAGTCTTTCCAGCTTCATGAATGTGGGAACCTATGTGTTCAATCCCCACTCCTGCCTGAAGTCTAGGTGGGCTGAAATTCCTTGAGATATGCCACATTCTCTTGTTTCTGGGAATTTCAAGTATTGCTTCTCTGCCCTTCCACTGACTTGTGCATGCTTTTCCGTGGGTTCTCAGCTTAAAGAGAATGTCCCCAACTTTGGTTATTTCCAGCTTGTCATGAAGTCTGATACCACCTTCTCGGTTATTGACCATAATAATCATATTTTAAAACTTAGCTTGTTTTCCCTCTCAGTGAAACTATAGGTTCTATGAGAGTAAAGATCACTTAAGTATTGATAACTATATTTTTACATGATAAAAGTTCAATAAATAGGAGAGATTAAAAGAATAAACAGACAAATCAATGGCCATTGTCCATAAACTTATAAAACCTTATCTCTTTGGTTGATCCTTCCTCTCTTTCATCCTATTTCTTCCTACCACTAAGAAAACTTTGTGATAAAAGACACTAGTGGTTTACTTACTGCAACTGCCACCACTCAGAATATCATTCTTGAACTACTTCTATCCCAAAATTTCCACTACAGGCACTTATCTACCCAGCTTTCTTTGAGGTCTGGGTGGTCTTGTGGGTTCTCGCCATTGGCATAAAATGATTTTACTGTAAGGATGCATGGAAAATTTTGCATTTTCTAAAGAGAGGGATAGATTTGGCCACTTTTGTCTGTCCTCTCTCCTTCCCCCTTAAGTATGCACTTTATTTCTGTAGCTACAGCAGTTACTCCCTCAAGGCTACAAGCATGAGGGAACAGTTTTAAGAATAATATTATCCATCACAGTGCCATGGCTCAACTACCACTCTGGAACTTCTTGTTAAAAGATAAAATAAATACCTGTTTAAATCATTATAAATTGAGATTTTCTTTTCCTATGTTTTTGGTTGTTTGCAGGTGAAAACATTCCTAATGGGTAATTTTGAGTTGTACTCAAAACATCATGTGCTACAATCAGCTTTGGAGGACCCTTCTTCTGGCTTGGATGTACTCAATAGCAGACTCCTTTGGAAGCACTAATGTGTTGCTCAACCAAATGATAATTTTCACGCTGCATTTTATTTACAGTTAATTAAGACATTTCACATTATTTCAAGGGAAAGCAATCTCTAATTTACAGAAAAATTGTGTTCATATTATGTATAATCATAGCTCACTAAAATGTCATTTTGAATTTTTTGGTTATAAATGAATGACTTACCTAATACTCTCAATTCTGCATTTGCATAAATTATCTGATATTGGTTTTCTGCCGCACATTGGTAGACACCAGAATCTGACATATTCAGCATAGTTATGATAAGTGTCCCATTTTCTATTTGAATTCTTTCCTAATAAAAGAAAAGTCATGTAAAGATGCTAGTGTGCTAATGTAGGCATTGTCTTAACCAGAATACATCATTAAACATTTGTGCATCTACAACATATGACATTTTGGTGTATGATAACTGATGTTTATGAAGATGGAGCTTAGTAAACTGCAAGATTACGAGCCGCTTTTTGAAGTTAAAAAAAGAAATATCCTTCCTATAATTTTAGTATAGTGTATTGTATGTGATCTCATTTCTTAGAAAATTGGCATTGTCTGCATAGAGTGTATGTTATGTTTCTGTTATATGGTATATAGAATAATTTGGATGATTCTACCCTTCCAATTATTCCAGAAAATACGGTTAATAATAATGTTAGAGACGAATATAATGATTAGAAATTTCCTTGGCTTTCCATCATAAGGTCTCCCAAAGACCTGAAATGTGATGACTTTATAATTTTCTAATTGAGTCATAAGTTGGGAGGAGCTAAATTCTCCTTTTCTGTAGCCTACCATAGTATGCTTAAACAGCCAAAATCTGTTACAGAGTCCCATTTGGAGTACAGAAATACAATTTTGAGTGCACCTAATGAAATAGTTTAATAGAGCAAATATAATTTTAAAAAATATTTCAGTATACCAATTACCAACCTTTAAAGATAATAAAAGTAGGTGGGAAGAAACAGAAAATGTTCTATGCGAAAGGCATTCAGGAAGAAAATTCCACTAAAACCAAAATAAAGAAGAATATTATTTTCAGCTTCTAAATACTAGATGTTCTTTGTGTCTCTAGCTATGCCTACAAGTGCAAAGTAAAAGGGAGAATTAACACAATTATTTAAATAATTTGATGGGGGAAAAAAGCCAATTTTGTCTCATTTTCAGTATACTGTACAATAAAGTATGCTCCAAATGGAAAAATGTGGATAACTGCCTCAGTTCTCCACTTGCTATCGGTTTAGAGTCGTTAGTTTTCATAAAAGCAAGATTTAAGATCTTGGATTCTGGAATCAGACTATGTTTGGAACAAACTGTAATATTTACTAGCTACTGTGTGACTTTGGACAAGTGATTTAACCTTCCTGAAACCAATTTTCTTTATCTATGGAAGAAATAATACTAGTGTCTCTCATAAAATTGTCATGAGGATACAATAAGATAAGGCATGGAAAAATATTTACATAGGACCTGGCTCCTACAACAGTTTGGTGGATGTGAATTAAGATGGTGATGGTGATGATGATGATGGTGATGATGACATCTGAATGTGGATCTGTCATTGAGTAGTGTGTGACCTTATGCTAGTTGCCCTCTTTACCTTTAATTTTCTCATTTGAAAAATGGGGATAATATTAATAGCTACTTTGAGCTTATTTAAGTATTATATAAATTAGTGCATGTAAAGAGTATACTACATTTCCTAGCACCTACTAAGCATTCCATACACATTGGCTGTTACTGGTAGTTAGGTGAGATTTTAATATCAACATAGTTGCTTACCTCTGGAGTGAGGCGTTCACCATTCTTTAACCACGTGTACCAAGGATTTGGTTTTCCGCTAGCTTTGCATTCCCAAAACAAACTGTCATAGATAGACAGGTAAGTATTTTGGATTTTTTGTTCCCATTCTGGTGGGGCTGTTTCAAAAACAGACAAGAACAACTACTTGGCAAGTCAATTATCCAAAACATTGTGCAACATTCCAAGGACTATAGAAAACAGAAAGATAAAGCTAACTGGGTCCAATTGTACTGAAAACATATGATTTGAGGGAAGGAAAATGTAGAAGCCTCAATGTGGAGCAGCAGAAATCTTGTAAATATCAGTGGTCCTTTGGCATAAGATAAATATTTGCCATTTGTCATTCTCGTGTACCTTTATAGTAACTTGGGACTTGTAGGAAAAGGTACAAATGAAAAACAAGGCCAGAGAATAATTTCATGTAAATATTAGTACATAGGTCAAGTTAGAAAATGTGTACCAAATCAGAACCCACTGTGAGCAAAGGCCTGTGATTATATCTGGTCTGAACTAACTAAGTTTATCTATATCAGACATAATTACAATTCAATAGCTTGAAGCATAATTCAAATATGAGCCTTATCGTATTTTAGTAGGATTATAGTCCAATTTTTTTCCAGCATAAAACTCTTGATAGGAAATGAGAACTTTGGAGTTTTATATAAGTTCAGCACCTAAATTTAATCCTGGACATCCATTATTCAAAACCTTATTTTGTAATATGAGAAAGTTCTACATTGTACTGAGGCAGAAAACAACTGGTTTAATTAATCTTAAAAAGTGCTACTTAGGTGTTAGGTAATATTATCTTTACTATCATTCATAGAAACAGGTTTGGTACAAGTTAAATGTTTTTTCATGAGATGGCAGGAAGCTGCCTGGCTGTGTCATTTATCCCTCTTTTATTTAGGTCTGTCCTCAGATATGTATGAGTGAATGAAATTTCCTTTGGAATTTCTGGCTCTTACAAGCTAGATATGTAATTGCAGTTAATTCTCTCTCTAATCATTTGTAGAGGATTTTTGCAGGCATGTTAGACCTGCTCAAGAAGACATAGTTAACAAATAGAGAAGCCAAACTTTGAATCCTGAAAGCAGAGTCTAAGTCAAGGGGTCATGGTAGTATTCATGTTGTCTGTTGGGAATGCCAGTCAATAAGGTAAGATGTCAGGAAAAGGAATAGTCAACAGGGAAGGAAAGAGGCAATGCAAGGGGCAGTTATTAAGTCGGCCAACAAGATAGGCCACTGTTATTCAATCTTCTGTGAACTTCGAAGGAGTCTTTATAACAGCCTACTGAGGGAAAGGAAGAGGAAGCATTTGTTCATTGGCTCCTGTCTACTATCATCCAAGGTTAATATAGATGTTACATATTAGCATATCCGGGTTGTGTGTGTTTAAGTGCTGAGTAGGCCCTAAGAGAAGAAAGAAAACTGAAGGCGGAAACAAGATGGATTTGGTGTGGCACCAAAGATGAGACTGTCAGGTTACACCTACAAAACCTAGAGCTGGTTACTGTCACAGTGGTTGCAGTGAAGAAATGTGACTGAGAGTCTTTGAAAGTTGTACGAGTATGTCTGACTTGTAGTGTTTTCCCACTGCACCATCTGCATCCACTAAAATAAAAGGTCCTGCAGAGAGCTGGTCACTGAGAAGTAATCATGATATCTCAGGGTAGTAAAAACTAAGCCTGAGATTACCATCTATGGAAATCAGGCCAACTTCCAGTTACAGAATATGCTTATCATAATTTTGAGGGACAAATCAAGGCAAGACTTAGATGAAGTAGATGTATGGATGAAATTGAATCATGTTTCTGAAGTTTATTAGCAAAATTTTCTAATTTGTAGCTGACTGTTGAGAAATTTTCTTAACATATGTTTGACCTGGGAGAAGAAATACATACTCATATAGAATTCACATCATTTGTAAAAGTTTGAAATACATATGGTTTGTGCTTTAATCCAATAATTGTAACTTTAAAACACATTTATTTTGTTAATATGTAAATTCTTTGGATGTTTCAGATTTTGAAGACCAAACTTTTAAATCTTCAACTACGTAGGAAATGCATGGAAGAAAGGACTTGAGATTTCAGGTCAACTATATGGGCTTGGATTTTAGATTTTATTTCTTTCCCTATTGAGTGAAATCAGGAAAGTCATGTAACTTCTCTGAATAGGTTTCATTTTTTATAATGATAATATTATAATGATATCATTTTCTATAATGACAATATTCAAGATTTCTTTTGGAAGTAATAAAGATGCAATACAGAGGAATAGGGTTTTGAATTATAATTTAAACACCACAATATAATAAAACCTACACTTTTCTTAAAATTTTCAGGTACTATGCAATTCTCAGGTACTTGAGTCAATACTCTGCTTCTGTGGGAGCATGATAACAAGTAAATTAATAGGTTAATAAGAAGTATAATATTTGTCTTATTGACCAATTATCTGTTAGTACCCCACAAGGACCATGTGGACTCATTAAATGGCTAAGGACAAATATTTCTACCTCTTACCATCATTAAGAATCACATGAATTAATATTTGTAAAATCTGTGTAAGCTAATAGTTTCTGTATGGATATGGGAGAAAGCACTCTCATTGATTTCTCGTTTATAGATAACTTCATTTTCTGGTTAATTACTTGGTTATATCTTTGTCTACTTATTAAAAAAATCAAATCTTTATTAAAAACTAGCCAAAGTCTTTAATATCTTGGTGCCAGTAAAAATCTCCCAGTCACATTCTTACTATTTTATTTACAATGGATGCTGTATTTGAAAGACTGTTTAAAAATACATGTATATATAGCTACAACTGTAGAGGAATAATCAGCAAGATATCATATTCTATATATAAAATAGTACTTTTCATTCAAGGTTAAAATAGGAAATTCTAAAGGAAATGGGAAATAGTATAATCAATGCACAATATGTTCTCCCCATAAGATACTCAATAGCCATTCCTATGAAGTAATTACAATACCTTAGATTTTTCCAGTTATGAAAAAATATATATTTTCTCCAATTACTTTATCATTGTTTGTAAACATGTCACACAGAAACTTGTCACATAAAAAAGTATTTTTGGTCATGTATAAATACAGTCTTAAAAAGTTCTCCAGTACTGATGTATTAAATTTAGCAAAGAAGTTAAGAATATCTTAAGAGCAGCAAACATTTTGATAATTCTGGGGTATACATTATGGTTTATTTGCTGTAAAAAAAAGGAAGCAAATTTTATGCAACTGTGTATTTTGGCCTGAATAAAAAAGACATGAAGACAATTTTTATATAATATATGCTTTCATTTGAGATTCTGGTAATTGAGACAAACATATATTTTTGTGTAGCTTTCTATTATCTACATATCAACAGACAAAATCTGGGAAACAGAAACAAATACTGAAAACTACCATTCAGCAGTATATTTCTCCTGTCAGTCTCTTCTTTTGTGAATTCTACTTAGAATTATAATTAAGATTGTCATGGGCTGTTGCTGAATGTTTTATGGGAAATATATTGAATTCTATGGTACTTTGTGTTATAAACTTTTATAGCTTTAATGTGACACTGCTGATACTTTCAAAGCAATTATAATAAACAATAGCATGCAAGGACCATGATGGAATTAAAAGCATATTTTAAAAATGGTCATTCCCACCTGCCCATCACTGTATTAAGTATGCTAACCTAGACATGTGTCTTCTTTATTTCTCCATGACACTTTTCCACACCATGCTAATGACTTTCACTATTTCCTATGAAAGATATTACCAAATATTTCATATACTTTTTGAAATTCTATTAGCTTACCATAGAAAATGAGTTGACCCTTTGCAAGGTTTCTTCCTCGAAGGTTGCCTGCAATGCACTCATAGAAGCCTTCATCTTCCTGTTGAAAGTTCGGGATTTCAAGAATAGCCTGGGATTTGCTGTACTTGACTTTCCCTGGCAACGGGTTTCCATCCAACCTCCTCCAACTAATATCAGGGACTGGACTAAACAGTTATACCTCATTAGAATAGAACACGATTTAGTCTTTATGACAGCAGGATAAAATAAGAGTGTTCTTAAGAATAATTCTCAAGGAAAAATTTCAATCTATTATATTAGGACTACTTTTCAGGTCATGCAATCATTCACCATTCACTCATCCAGCAATTTATAATACTTCTTAAATGCCTGCTATGTGGAAATCACAGTACTATTATCAGGGCGTAAATCGATGAACATACAATAAATAAATAATAAAAAATAATGCATTTGTAAATTGCAGGAACTGAGAAAAGGAAACAGGGTGCAGAAATAGGCACAATATTTTATCAATGTAAATATGGTGGTCAGGAAATTCTTTGTGAGCATGTGACATTTAAGAGTAGGCAAGCTTCCTCTATATATTATAGGTTTTAAGGTGAAAATACAGATTCCTCTATACTGAAGACCTATGTGATGAATGAGCTAGATTATCAATTGGGACTAGTACCATATAAGAGATCTATATAAATTGGGTTTTATCATTCTCCAAAGAATGTACTCACTTTTAACTTATTTAAAATAAAAACCAAAAATAAAAAATAAATAAGATAAAAGATAACTTTCCATTGTAACACTAGAATTTGTGGAGTTCCTTTATTTATAGGTTTAGCTAAATATCTTATATCTAATATCTTTAGTCTAATATAAATATCTTTTATTTTTTATTTAAAAATTTTTTTTCTTAGTTTATTATCAAGTTGGTTTCCATATAACACCCAGGGCTCATCCCATGCTCATCAACCCCTTCCCCTCTCACCCACCCCCATCAGCCCTCAGTTTGTTCTCAGCATTCAAGAGTCTCTCATGGTTTGCCTCCCTCTCCCCAACTATTTTTTCCCCTTTTCCTCCCCCATGGTCTTCTTTAAGTTCCTCCTAATCCACCTATATGTGCAAGCATATGGTATCTGTCCTTCTCTGCCTGACTTACTATGAATATCTTTTTAAAAAGCCAAATATATTTATAATGTCTGAATCTAAGTGCTAACAAAAAATGATGGATTTAGGAATTTGTGGTGAGAAAGAACTTACTTTTTAAAGATATTATATAAAGAAATACAGGCTCTTTGTAAAGTTACAGTAGGCTTGTAATATCAATATCTAGTCTAACACCTTTCCTTTTCTACTGCCAAGTCATCCTTCTTTCCCTTATAGTTTTCCAGATGATTTAAATGTTTCTATTCTAAATATATTTTAAATTAATAATAATAATGAAAGTAAATCATTTTAAAAAGCCAAAAATAAACTTTTTCAGATACAGGATTTCTTCAAGTCAAAAAAAAATAATAATAACGTGGGGAAACCATCCAATGAAATACAAACTGGTTGACTATGATTTGTGGCATTTAAGTAGTAAACAATTGAAGAAAATTGGTGATGGTGATGATGGTGACTCAGTAGAGGCTTCAAATAAACCAAATTGATGAAGTCCAAGGAAGTTTTGATTGGTAAAAAATGATGGCCCTTCTATGCAAATCAAAGACATAAATGATGTAGAAAGTCATACATGTTTTCCTATATATTTGTCAGAAAACATATCCTCCAGTCAGTGTATGATTTGTCCCTTCTTAGAATTAGTATATAGTTAAAAATGTAATTTGAATTCTTTTAAACACAAAATAAAAATGATTGTTATGATGAACTTAGTTTTTGTCTTTTTAAAAAGCCTTGCTACTTACCACAAATTTAGGTTCACATTTTAGTAGAATGGCATCTACCAACAATTAACCACAGATAACTGGCTTTCTTATGTATTCATTTTACGGAATACAAAACTACAAATAAAAATAAAGTACTAGAAGAAAATGTATTGACATAGGAAGACCTTCCCCAAGTCTGGTAATTTTTATATTATATGTCCTATCATCTAAATTTTTAAAATATATGTTGTACATGTTTGAAGACAGTAAAAGTTATCATCTGTAAGTAGTAAGAATATTAATGCCTTTAATTTTCTTCTTTCCCTTAATCTCTATTTTCCATTATTTTCCTACAGAAGCATGCACTACCCATGTAATAAAAATTTCTAAGGAAATTTACTCACAAAGGGAAAAAATATAAAGGCTCGGATACTTGTCTAAATTCGTGATCCTTTCTTATTCCTTTGTGTGTGTGTGTGTGGGACAGTGTCTCTCTGAGGTTTATGACCAATACATGAAAAGCATCCAACTAAAAAAAGCTTTTAAATTAAAGCATTCAGACCAAAAAAAACCAAAAACCAAAAACCAAACAAAAAACAGTAAAGACTGAGTATGTCTCAGTTATGTAATAGTTCTTTATTTTGATTATGAAGACAGAAGTCAATTTTTAACATAACTAAGTATCTAAATCTGAGTCAGTTTGGCAGTTAATAATTGTAATAATATTACAATAAATAGCTACTGCTTATTAACCACAAACTATGTGCCAGGTAATACGTATGTGTAAAACATGCAAAGATAAGTTCATTTACTTTCCCATAACTAAAAGCTGCAGAGCTAGGATTTACTTCCAAGTTTCTTTGCCTTAAGAGCTATGTACCTAATCATGAGGCAATACTGTCCCCACAGCTACTGTAAGATCACCCACTGATACCTTTGGCATTTGTGGTTTTACAATAGTGGCTCTCCATTTTCAGTGTCCAAATTGAGTCGGGGCAAAAAGAACAAGTCCTACCGATCCTAACTATTCCTACTTTCCCCAGAAGACCTTAGTGATAGAACTGGAGTCTCTCTGGATAAGCTTTTTTCCCGTAATGGATGAAATGGCATATGCTATAGAGATACACCTTTACAAGAGAAGTAATGCAGCAGACAATGTCAGTGCTCTACCCATGTGCCTTCTGATTCCTTACTCACCTCAGATTCTGTAGTGCTATTAGCCTCAGCATTTCTTTTTGACACCTACCTTCAAGCTGCTGTAGCTTTACAAAGAGGTGAAAACAGCTAGATTGGCAGCACTTAAGCAACAACTGACTGGGTGCTGTGATACACATATTCTCTCTCCTCTGCCCCTTCTGGTGGGACATCTCTCAGGTATGATCTGCACCCTCTCCAGAGCTCCCCTACGGGACTGAAGCAAATTTAACTTCCGTATACCTTATTCTGCATGGCTACTCTTCCTTCCTTGCCTCACGTCTTCATTCTCCCATGAGTTCTTAGTAAAAACCCTTCCAACAAATCACTTGCAAAAAATCATCCTTTCAAGATCTGCTTCTTGGAAAACCAATTTATCAGAATTCCCAGTATGCTCTAGCCTTGTTCTACTTTAATTATAATATCGATTTTAAGGAACCCTTAAATAATTCTCAGTATGGTGTGTCCATATGGTCATTAAGCACACATAGAAATGGTATCCTGAGGTATTAAACATCAGTGGAACACAAGACCAAAATTGAACTGTAGAATCCTTGTGGAAAGTCATGGCTGTGGAACATAGAGATCTAAATTACACCAGAATAATAGCAAAAGGCAAGGAATGTAGAAATGTAGAACAGATACAAGGCTGAACACAGAGACAGGTTTCTCACATAAAAAAAGAACATCCTTTTTTTTTTTTCTTACCTCATTTGTGGATGGAGTGATAAATCGCCTCCCACAAACCACTTAATTATGGAGAAGGTTATAAGATTCAGTGTACTGGCTTCTAAAATAAGATTATTGAATTGTGAAGAATACTATAAGAATTAGAGTTCTAAATTCTCAATCTGCAGTGGACCCATGTTTGGTTGGCTGGTCAGTTGGTTTCTGACTGTATTTTGACTTTCCCCTGACAAACCAAAGCTTCCTAACTTTACTTCATCTGATTTGAATTGGGAACACTAAACCTCTGGCTTGAGGAGAGAGCACAAGACTGAGGTCTTGCTATTAGAAGCAGGTGCACCATAGTCACTGGGAATGGTCACTTATGAGAACTCAATTCAGAAAAAAACAATATTCAATTCTGTGAATGCTTTTGAAAGATTTGTTGAAAAGAGAATCTTTTTCACTGTGGTTTGCTCAGATAGAATAGAAACTTGGAACTTGTAGGCAACAATTTCCCACCAAATGGAGTCAGTACATTTGAAAGCCCAAGCTACCACAAAGGCAAGAATCTTGGAATTCTTCACATGCCTAGATCAAGTCATGCCTGATGCCCTTCCCCCAAAATCTCTCTTCGAACATTTCTGTAAATCAATACATCCTTTTTTTTTTTCTTTTTTCTTTTTTTGGCTTAAATGTTTATCTTCCTAATGCTTTCCAACCCTCTGCGCCCCAAAAAGACTTGACAAATAGATTCTGAATGCCTGGATTTAGTTGTTATCTGTGTGATTGAATTATACAAAATGGTGGATTTCTGGAACTCCTAGGTGGCTCAGTTGGTTAGGTGTTCTATTGTTGATTTCAGCTTAGGTCATGATCTCATGGTCTGTGAGACTGAGCCCTGTGTTCAGCTCTGTACTGACAGTGCAGAGTGTGCTTGGGATTCTCTCTCTTGCCCTCTCTCTGCTACTCTCCTGCTTACATGTGTGTTCTCTCTCTCTCTCTCTCTCTCAAAATAAATAAACTTAAAGAAAAAACCCAATTTGGTGGATTTCTTCTGGATGTTACATTTTATACTCCATACATTAGAATTTTCAGGGCAACAAAACTATCAAAAAAAATCACTCAAACATTTTTAAAGTTTTTTTTAAAAGAAGTCTTAGCAAGTGTATTTTGTGACTACATTTTGTGTTAAAATTACTAATGGGAGAAAAATCAAACAGTTTTATAAGAATTCACAGTACTAATTAAATGCTGAGATTTTTTTCAGATTTGTTATGTCACTGCTAAATATGAATGCCATGATCCTCCTGATTATCACTGGTAATGTGATAGAGACAGAGAGAATAAGCACAAAACACAGATTACATAAAAATACATATGCATTTTAATCAAAAGTTCCCATTTTGTCCTGAAACTTCTTATGAAGACACTAAAGGAACTGCTTTAGATTTCACACCCTCTGC